GTGTGTGTGTGTGTGTGTGCGTACGTGAGGATTTATAGATAAATGAATGTAGCCTTCTCAGTCTGTATGATATTATTTGTATGTATGTTTTGATGGCTGGCTATTTGGTATTGAATAAACAAGTGCTACTATCTTCCCTGAAAAAAAATTACTCCTATTCGCAGTATTCTTCAGTTACCTCTAGTTCTTGGAGTAGGACTGATACCTCTTGGGATTATTTTAGTATATATATATATACTATATATATATATATATATACACTATATATAATACTAGCATTATCTGTGGGTATAAAAAGTAATTAGGATGTAATTATGAAATATATTATTTATTAAAGTTGCAGCTGTAGGTTCTTCTCCAAGATTCATGACTTCCCTAGTTCTGAGCAGCTATCTAGTTTTCCAGGACCAGGCATAGTTTCTTTGCTTTGGAACCAATCATAAATCTAACTTGAGATCTGTTGCTTACTCTCATGGTTTCTGTGCCACTAATGAACCCTTAGGTGTTTTCTTGTTGTTATTTTTCCATTCTGGTCCTTGCTGTGGTTCAAAGATACCACATATGTATAGATTTCTTTTTTGTTTGTTTGTTTGTTTTTAATTTTATTTTTGTTATTAGTTACATTTTGTTAACTCTGTGTCCCAGCTGTATCCCTTTCCCTCATTCCCTCCCCAACCCCACACTCCCTCCCTGGTCTACTCCCTGCCCCTTTCCAAGTCCACTGATAGGGGAGGACCTCCTCCCCTTTCATTTGACCCTGTTTTATCAGGTATCTTCAGGGCTGGCTGCAAAGTCCTCCTCTGTGGCCTAACAGGACTGCTCCTCCCCTGGGGGTGGTGGGGAGGTCAAAGATCCTGCCCTGGAGATCCTGTTAGAAATAGTCCTTGTTCCCCTTACTTTGGGAAACTACTTGGTTACTGAGCTACCATGGGCCACATCCGAGCAGAAGTTCTAGGTTATATCCATAGATGGTCCTTGGTTGAGTGTCAGTCTCAGAAAAGACCCTGTGCCCGCATACATTTGGTCCTTGTAGAACTCCTATCCTTTCCATATCATACTGACTCCCCTTCTTTCATATGATTCTCTGCACTCTGCCGAGGGTTTGGTTATGAGTCCTGGTGTCTGCTTTGAAACACTGCTAGGTAGAGTCTTTCAGATGCCTTCTGCGGTAGACTCCTGTCATACGTTCAATGCACATCCCATTTGTCTTTCTAAATGAGGATTGATCATCTTTGCCCATGTCTGCTTTCTTGATTATCTTCTTTAGGTGTGTAGATTTCATTATGTTTATCATATCTTGTAGGTCTATATAAGCGAGTATATACCATGTTTGTCTTTCTCCTTCTGGGATACTTCACTCAGAATGATCTTTTCTAGATCCCACCATTTGCCTGCAAATTTCATGATTTCCTCCTTTTTGATTGCTGAGTAGTATTCCATAGTGTAAAAATACCACAATTTATGTATCCATTCCTCAGTTGATGGCCATCTGGGTTGTTTTCAGGTTCTGGCTATTACAAATAAAGCTGCTACAAATATGGTTGAACAAATGTCCTTGTTGTGTACTTGAGCAAATTTTGGGTATATACCTAGGAGTGGTATAGCTGGGTCTTGAGGTAGCACTATTCCTAATTGTCTGAGAAAGCGCCAGATTGACTTCCAAAGTGGTTGTACCAGTTTACATTCCCACCAGCAGTGGAGGAGGGTTCCCCTTTCTCCACAACCTCTCCAGCATGTGTTGTCACTTGAGTTTTTCATCTTGGCCATTCTGATGGGTGAAATCTCAGGGTCGTTTTGATTTGCATTTCCCTAATGGCTAATGAGGTTGAGCTTTTCTTTAAGTGTTTCTCTGCCATTCGATATTCCTCTATCGAGAATTCTCTGTTTAGCTCTGTTCCCCATTTTTTAATTGGATTACTTGGTTTGTTGCTTTTCTGCTTCTTTAGTTCTTTATATATACTGGATATTAGTCCTCTGTCAGATATAGGGTTGGTGAAGATCCTTTCCCAATCTGTAGGCTGTCGTTTTGTTTTGATGACGGTGTCCTTTGCTTTACAGAAGCTTTTCAGTTTCATGAGGTTTCATTTATTGATTGTTGCTCTTAGAGCCTGTGCTGTTGGTGTTCTGTTCAGGAAGTTGTCTCCTGTGCCAATGAGTTCTAGGCTGTTCCCCAATTTTTCTTCTAACAGATTTAGAGTATCTGGTTTTATGTTGAGGTCCTTGATCCACTTCGACTTTAGTTTTGTGCAGGGTGATAAATATGAATCTATTTTCATTTTTCTGCATGCAGACATCCAGTTGGTCCAGCTGTACTACAGGGCAACAGTAATAGAATTCTTTTTTACTTCCTGTCACTACAAGCTTGCATGGCAACTTATGGTACCATGAAACCAAATCACCAGGAAGGAGCCTTTCTGGTCAGTTTTGGCTCAGTGTCTTCTGAGACCACTGTCTGATGCACCTGATATCTTCAACAATGGGCACTTCCCATTTCGTGGGGAAAACAGTGACAATAGTAACAGCCTTCAATGTTCTGGGGACCTCTTAAACAACCCTGACATTTCATAAGTCAATTTAGTATCTCTTGTACCTGATGTTGTGGTATTTGTTTCATGGATTTGGGTGTTGGAAGAAGCATTTTGACCCAGATGAGAAAATTTAATTTAAAATGTATATGTTTATTTATGCATAGGTTTACCTTTATTATAAGTATTATTTAGGTTAATAGTAAAAATTATTCTCTTTTTAGACATCCTTCCTTTTACTTTCCTATTCTACATCTGTATTTATCTTCAACTCCTCCACTATTAGAGCCTGTTTCCTCAAACAGATCATGTGTACACTGCTATTCTCCTCTCCATTGCTCCCTACTCTTCTAGCATCTCAGTGGTGCCTTTTATTTTCCAGTTTCTTCAATTACTCATGGATATCTGTTGACATCTGATGATCTGGATCTAGGAGGCTTGGATGAGAATGAAAATGAACGATTTCTCTTTCTGGGTCTCAGTTACCCCTCAAGATAATCTTTGCTAGTTCGATTTATTTTCCTACAAAATTTGTGGTTCCATTTTCTTATATTGAACTGTATCCCATTGTGAATATGTATCACATTTTTGTTATCCACCCATCAGTTGATGAACATTTAGATTCCTTTTTCATTTCCTAGGTGTTGTCAATAGATCAATATTGACATGCTGATCGAATGTCTATAATGTATCCTTTTCAGTCCTTAGGAACACAGAATGATTGTTGCTGTTGTCCCATTCAGCGATGCTTAGCAGAAGCTGAATGTGTAGTTTCTGACATCAAGGAGATACTACCTCACAGCAAATCCTCTCCCAAAATTACTGCCCTTTCTTCTAAAATGATCCCTGAGCCTTAACTGCTGAACTTCTTATGTAAATATATCAGTTGGGACTGTGATCCTGAACTATGTAATTTGATTGGTTGTAATTTCCTGTAATGGCAACTTTCTTCTGAGAAGGGAAGTTCTTGGATGAGAGGTGAGAGCCACACTTACCACTGAGTATAGGGCCACATATTTTACTGCTTTTACTTAACATAATTTAACTGTAACAGAAAGGTTTCTTTAAATTTTTTTCCTGATCATTACTATTCTATAATTATGGTTTCATTAACAAAATGAACACTTTCAAATTAAAAATAAATTTTCCTGCTATCCATACTATTTAAAAATGCCCTAATGAGGGTAGAATGACATATAAATATTATACTTCATAAATTTATTAAATTAATGATTATATGAATAATGTAGTGCATCAGAAAAATAACACAGTTATTAGGTTTTTTTCTTTGTAGGGCTCCCAGGAATAAGCAAAACCTTTGCTAAATTAGTTCTCAGTCTTTGAAAACTTGCCAAGAAATCTCGCTTAGAAATTTCCTCCTGAGAATGACCATGTTACATAATGCTCATGATTTTTACATGATAAGTCCAGGAGAAATGAAGTCGAGAGAACAGCACAGACTCTTCTCCTTGTATTTGCACTTACCGTGGAATAAATTTGAACCTTAATTTATTTTAAAATTTATTTTGAGAAAGACCATAGGAAAGTCCAAAAATAATTTAATTAACTTCTGATTCTTTTTAAAATGAGTACACAAAAATATCAAAAAAATTATCCAAAGGAAAGCACAAGATCTATGACTGAGGTATACAAATCCTTAAGTAAATTTTCTATTTCAATTGTGAGAATATTTGGGAGTTGAATATTTTTGAACACATGATATTGGAAATCATTTCCATTTATTTTTTTCTACCAGCTTTGGCACTAAAAGTAAGTATTTTTTTAAAAATGTGAAGACTGAAAATTAAAATAAAAATTATATTTTATCATTTATCATTTGGCACTTACAAAAGTAACATTGAATTGTGGCAAGCTTAGAGTTGGTACAGAGAGGTTACCTTAGCAATAATTCATATTTTGCTAGAATAAATTTAGTTAAAATTTGTTGGAAATAATCCATCTACATCAATTGTTATTTTCTTGATGTAATCTAAAGTTCAGTAAAATGTAGTTAGAATTAGTTGATATTGAAAAAAGCAGGAAACGTATTAAAGTTGTTTTCTGTCGTTGTTAATTGAATGAGCGGCGTTCGATTTGGACTGAGTGTGATCAAGTCTTCGAGGTCTTACATGACCATAGACCCAATGTGAACTTGTGTTGGGTTCACATAAATTAACTGAATTTTCTGCATCTTTTGTCTTGTGTAAAATGAGGGGATAATATGAGCACATACATGATAACATTCTTGCAGATTAAATTCATAAAAATTATTTGAACTAGCAGCATTTTTGGTATTCTATCTCATGTTATCACTATGATAGCATAATCGAATGCCACTTTGTACTTTTATACTGTAATTCTTTGTACTTTATACTGTAATTGTGAAAGTCCAGTGACAAACATGCACAGGAAATGCTGTACCATCACACAACCTAAGCATTGCCCTTTATTTCTCATCATTTAGGGTCATTCATTATGAATCCCTGGAATCACACAAGTAAGCCTGATTTCATCCTCATGGGGCTGACAGACTCCAGGGAGATCCAGCTGGTCCTCTCTGTGCTGTTTCTCCTGATATACCTGGTCACTGTGCTGGGGAACATTAGCATGATACTGATCATCCGTCTAGATGCCCAGCTTCACACTCCAATGTATTTCTTCCTTACCCACCTGTCATTCCTTGACCTCAGCTACTCCACCGCCATCACACCTAAAACCTTACAGAGCCTGCTGACTTCAGACAACAGCATTTCCTTCACAGGTTGTTTTACCCAGCTGTACATGTTCATCCTCTTGGCAGCTACTGAATGTTTTCTACTTTCCTCGATGGCCTATGACCGCTACGTAGCTATCTGCAACCCTTTACATTACCCAGTTGTTATGTCTTCACAATGCTGCCTTGCTCTCCTCACTGGGTCCTACATGACTGGAATTGTGGATTCCTCTGTTACTGTGCTTGACATGATTACACTACATTTCTGCAAGTCCAATGTCATCCATCATTTTTATTGTGACACATCTCCACTTCTGTCTCTGTCCTGCAGTGACACACAGGTAGTTGAAATCATTATATTCATTTTTGCAGGTTCCACTATTTTGGGGTCCCTCATCACAATATCTGCATCCTATGTGTCTATTCTTTCAACTATTTTGAAGATAAATTCTACTTCTGGGAAGCAAAAAGCTTTCTCTACTTGCGCCTCTCATCTCCTTGGAGTTACTGTCTTTTACAGTACTCTGATTTTTACTTATTTAAAGCCAAGTCAGTCCTATTCTTTGGGAAAGGATCAAGTAGCCTCTATTTTCTACACCATTGTGATCCCCATGCTGAATCCACTTATTTATAGTCTCAGAAACAAAGAAGTGAAAAGTGCTGTTACTAGATTAATGAAAAAGAGACAAGAACCCAGGAAGTTAAGATAAGAGTTACACTAATCATTCAGCCACATCGCTTCCATTTGCATGTTCCCTTGATGAGGGTCTAAAAACAATTACAATTAGATTTCCTTTCTGGGTTTTTTCTCATACAAACATCAGTTGGGAATTTGCAGAAATGCAGTTTTACATGTCAGTTTTCCTGGATGAATTTCATTGAACATGCACTACACACTTGTCTTTTGTTCTGTTTTAAGGAATACTAGTTTGCAACATAAGAAACGTGTTTAAAATTCTTAGAGCTATACCATATAAAATCTCATACTTAGTAAACAATTAAAAATATAACAGAAAGATAATTTAGGCAGTGACTATACTTTCAGAAATCGCTCACTATATAATTTGCAGTCTGCTATTAGTTAAATAATTCTTGACAAGAAACTAAATTTAGTATTCAGTTTCCTCAGCAGTGCAAGAGGAATAATAATTCAATATACATGTGATAAGATGATGGAAGTAATATACATTAATAAACATGTTGTTTATTACAATTAATAAATTGTATTCCTGACATACTTTAAATACTTACTGTCATTTCTTGAAGAGTCTTCATGAGTGTTTTTTAAATAACTTTCAGATAATTTAATGCAAAAACATATAATAACCTTAAAAAGAATGCATTCAATTGTTTCCAAATTTGAATTTTACAGAAAAGTTTGAAGTAACATTAAGTTATAGGAAAAAATATTTTGCTCTAATCATAACATGTTGGTGACAGTTATGAAAATGTTTAATATCCAGAAAAAAGAAAAACACTAGAAGTTACTGATACTCAGGATCATATTCTTCTCAGTCAATAATTGAGTTAGTCAGTATAGTTCACATAAAAATAACTTTTTCTCTATACTCACTTGCAGCATTATTCATTCCCTTGAGAGTGTACTGTTTGATCATCTCTTTATCATGTACAACTGTGAGAAGTATGTCTTCTGAGTCATTGGGGACGATCAGTACTTCCGGCTGATGTTGCTTTGATCATGATATACCATAAATATATCAAGTTCTATATCTGTATACAGTACTCTCAGTTTTATAATTCTTAATTAGTTACAATACTAGAGTTAATTTTCATTTATACTGTAAACTAATGAATGTAACATTGCTTTGAAGCAAGTTCTTTAATTACTCAGCACTCATGTTATTATGTTTTTTCACCTGCATATGTGTATGTGTTCTTTGTAATGTCCATGTCCTATGTCTGTGTTTGTGTTTGTTCAGGTGCATGTGTGCTTGAGAGCACGTGGAGAGAAAGACCAGTAACTGATGGCAGGTGTCCATATGGATTGTTCTCCACATTAGTTTGTTAGGTTGTCGCTTTGAACCTGGGGTCACTGATGGTCAGGGCTGGCTGGTCAGGGATTCTGGGGAGGCAGCTATCTCTGTCACCCCACACTAGGCTGTCCGTTATGTGCCTTGCTGCCAGGATCCTCATGTTGGTCTGGGAGCTGACCTCCCACCCCTCTGCTAAGGTGGCAGGCGTCTATCACCTGAGCAAGCCTCCATTTTCACACTGTAAAAAGGCGACAAGATGGCAAACAATTAACAGTAAATTCATGCTTTCTTGAATGACAAACTTTGTCAGACACAGGATTAGCATTTTCTTCACTGAAAATTTTCTCATATGTATGTAATCACCCTATTTTCATAAGCCGTCTCACATGCTGGCTATATTACACATCAATACTATAGAAAGAGTTTATGATTTATTTTTCTTTTGATATCTGTTTTTTCTAGAACCTTTTTTTATATTAGTTTATTTTCATTATGAGAATAGCAATTTAAATCATTTTTAGTTTTTATATTCATTGACTTTTGTCATTTCTGACCCTGAATAGGCCATCTATTATTTCAGGTTTTATGGAGTCTTCTCTTTTCCATTTATTTAACATGTGTTTTTTCTGTTTTTCAATTATGTTTGTGTCTATAATTTAGAAAACTTCTACCACCTGCTTGTGTTGATGACACCAGTACAGTACATGTAACATTGTAGTTAACTTATGGATTGAAAAGAATTTAACACTTTTAACATTATTTCAGCTTTATTATAATCCAAATACTGGTACAGCTAATAGGTTACCAGCATTGAAATCATGTATAAGCACATAGCAATAGTGGCTTGAGCAAGAGGTGTTTATATATTTAGGAACATGTGTATTTAACAGCAATTGTAGAAATAAGGGCTAAAAAATAAATTTTATAAAATTGTATGTTTTAAAAAATTATTTATTATTATTTATTGCAATTTATTCAATTTGTATCCAACTGTCTCCTCCTCCCTCATCTCTTCCCAGTCCACTGATAGGGGAAGTCCTCCTCCCCTTCTGTCTGACCCTAGCCCATCAGGTCTCCTCAGGACTGGCTGCATTGTCTTCCTCTGTAGCCTGGCAACTCTGAACCCTCATAGACTCGGTATCCATCTGGGTTCCCTCATAAGCAGAGTAGGGGTTTTAGAGAAAACTCCATGAACTCAGTGACAGAATTTAACATTTTAACTCACAAACCACCTATCTTCTTCACAGTACGGGTCACAAAATATTCTCTGTGATTCTATAGTTATAATTGTCAATCAACATGTGATATTTGCCTTCTCTACTGACTTTAGTCATATATCGTATATGCTATATGGCATATAAGTTGATTTGTGAGCTAGTTTAAGGACTGCAATGTGTTATGAAAAATAATACTGTTCATCCAAAATAAATTAACATATGAAACTACACAACTTGTCTTGAATCACAAGGACATGCTTTAAAAATATTCAATCCTCACTTTTCATTGGACCAGGAGAAGGGGACAGAGAGGAAGAAGAAGCGAGTGTGGGACTGGGAGGAGTTGAGGGAGGAGGCTTCCATAGAGATATGTAATGATTAAATTGTAAACAAATAAAAACAAAAGAAGAGAGAGGCGGGGCAAGATGGCAGCGCCGGGAGGACTCTCATTCTGAGGAGCAGCACAGCAGGATTGGCACAGTGACCAGCAATCAGAACTCGCGGCCATAAAACACAAGTGGTTGTGTTTCTCAGGTGAGAGCATACCCCATGGTGGGGGATTCGATCAGCTTTAACTCACCTGGCTAAACCGCAGAAGATATCCCCGTTCCGCCAGGCGCTTGGTCGCCAGCCCAGAGCTACACCCCAGCGTGATCTGGTCACTGTCCCAGACTGAACTGTGGGCCCACAACACCACAGACTGGATTTTCCAGTCGAGAGATAACCCCACGGAGCAGGAAACAATTGGGACTGACCCCAGGTTACCCAGACATCCCCTGGAAAAGACTCGGGTTCCGCGGGTGCCCCAGGAGCCAGCCCGGACCCAGAGCCGGGAGGGACAAAGGCGCCTGCCTGCACAGAGCCCTGCCTGCGCGCGTGATTCGCCGCCTCAGATAGAACTGTGGGCACCAGGGCAACAGGGCACCAGACTGCGTGTCTCTGGCAGGAGGAAACCCCCAGCGGAGGGGGTCAGCAGCTCTAACGCTTAGGACACCCAGCACCAAAACACTTCCTGGACTCACGCAGACTCTAGTGCAGGCAGAAGCGCTGTGCTCTGCCACCATTGTTGCGTTCCCCTGGGGCACTGGGACACACAGCTGCATCCTCGGACCTGCAGGAGCCGAAGAGCCATTACAGCAGCCCCCAGATACTGTGCCAGGGATCGGCCAGTTGTCCCTGGCTGGACTGCCAAAACTGTAGGAATCCCTGATCCTTCAGGGGGGCTGCACCCACAGCGTCTGGACCAGAGTGGTGCCTACAGCCGCCATCCCAGACAGAGACACACAGCTTCTGGTCCAGAGTGAGGCACCCAGCCTCCAGACCAGAGCAGTGCCCCCAGGCGCCAACTCAACCTAGGTGCACATTCTCCAGATCCAGAGCAGAGCAATCAGCCTTTGGCCCAGAGACTTGCTGAGTGCACCTCCCACTTTCTCAGACAGAACTGTGCGCCCCAGGATAACAGACTGAGTTTCCCTGTTGGGAGAAAACCCCACAGCTAGGGAATCAGCAGTTTCTTCAAGAGGACTGTACATGGAAATTTAGTGAGCAGGAGCACACTAAATTTATAACAAGAAACCCAGCAGTGGGGCAGCTGTCTTGAGAAATTTTATGGGTAAGAGGAGATCCCCCCCTGCCTAACACAGACCACAGCTACTACTCAGGGCTATAAACCTGAGGTGAGCAGTGGCAACTCCGGAGAAACACTGGCCATACAGTGACCATAACCAAAAAGCAGAGAAGGACTCCTTCAGGAAAAATCATCTTCCGGCCAAGGGGATACTCCCTACCTCAGGACTCCAGGAAGCACAGAAACTAACAGCCAATACCTAAATCAGCCCAATGGGTAGAGGTCAGCGTAAAGGCTCAACCAACAAAAGACAGAGCAATATGGCATCTCCAGAACCCAGCCATCCAGGGGCGAACAGCCCTGAACAATGCAGCATAATAGAAAATCAAGAAGATGACCTTACATCTATGTTGATGAAGAGAATAATAGAGGAAACAGATAAAATACGTAAAGAATTAGAGGAAGATAAAACCAAACAGATCATGGCTATCCGTAAAGAAATGGAGGAAGATAAAGACAAGCAAATTAGGGCCATCCGTGAAGAAATACGGGAAGATGCAGCCAAACAGCTTGTGGCCTTCAGAGAAGAAATAATTAAATCACTGAAAGAAATCAAAGAGACAGAGTTGAAGGAACTAAAAGAAAAAGAGGAAAATACAAGCAGACAGGTGAAGGAAGTAAACAAAACAACTCAAGACCTGAAGATAGAACTAGAAAAATTAAAGAAAACACAAATGGAGGAAATAATGGAGAGGAAGAATTGAGGGAAGAAAACAGGAACTACAGAGGTAAGCATAACCAACAGAATACAAGAAATGGAAGAAAGAATCTCAGGTGTAGAAGATACAATGGAAGAAATCGACGTATCTGTCAAAGAAAATGTTAAATCCAAAAAATTCCTGACACAGACCGTCCAAGAATTCCAAGACAAT